CATGAGGGCAGTGGTGACCACGTGAATCTCCCCGTGACAGATGGACCCAGAGCCATACACACGCTTCATGCCAATGCGAGACTCCTGGTCTTTGTGTTGTGTTTTAATTATGTAAAATGGAGCCATCGGGGGAGGTGGGTAAGGGGACACAGGATCATTCTGTGCTGTCCTTGCAAACTTCCCACGACTCTCGATCATTTTAAAATAGAAGATCTGCCGCACAGCAGAGGAAGCAGTCAGGAATGTGCAGAGAGAACCCACAGAAGGGAGGATTAGTATCTAGAATATCTAAAGAACCCAGAAACCGTTCACCAAAAACTCAATGACCCAATTAATCAATGGGCAAGTGAACCAGACAGACACTTCTCAAAAGAAGAATCTAAATGGCCAACACATACACAAAAAATGTCCAAGGCTGTTAAAACCAGGGGAGTGCAGATCAGAACTACACTGCACTCTCATCTCACAGCAGGCAGGAGGGCAGGCATCAAGAACATGGATGACCAGTGCTGGAGAGGGTGTGGAGGAAGAGGGACGCGTCCACACTGTGGTGGGACTGTGAATCAGTGCGGAAATCAGCATGGGGCTCCTCAGAGACCAGGCTCGGAGCCACCCTGTGGCCGGTTACCACCCCTCGGTGTCTATCCTGAAGGTTCAAAGTCACCTTACACACCCGTGTTCACAGCAGCACAGCCCACAGTAGCCACACTCCGGATCCAGCCTAGGTGTCCATCCGTGGATGAACTGATAAAGAAGATCTGATAGGTACATACAACGGAGACTTGTTCCGTCACGAAGAAGAAGGGAGTCACGGCATTAGGAAGATGGGGGGAACTAGAGACCATTATGTAAATGCAGAAGGTCAAGGGTCCTGTGCTCTCTCTCACATGCAGAAGCTACAGAGGGGAAAGGACCTCCTAAAGGCCAAAGGGCGGTCAGCAGAGGAAAGGGACTGAGGGGTGGAAGGGGGAATGGAGGAGCAGTGTGGGGAGCGGCCAACTGCGTAGTCACACTGTGTGCCTGTACAGATGTGACGCACCGCACCAACAGACACATGGGAGAGGGCGTACAAGTGAATGAGGGCTGGGCTGGGGCTCAGGGGTGGAGCGCTCGCGTAGCATGTGCAAGGCTCTGGGTCGATCCCCAGCACCACACTAAAAAAAACTAAATAAACAAAATAAAGGTGTTGTGTCCATCTAGAACTAAACGTGTGTGTGTGTGTGTGTGTGTGTGTACACATACTTTTTTTTTCTAATGAGTAGAAGCCGCGTGCAGTGGCACACTCCTATAATCCCAGCAGCTCGGGAGGCTGAGACAGGAGGACAGGGAGTTCAACAGCAAGGCACTGAGCAACTCAGTGAGACCCTGTCTCTAAATAAAATACAAAATAGGGCTGTGGATGTGGCTCAGTAGAGAAGTGCCCCTGGGTTCAATCCTGGTATTCCTGCCCCACCCCCCGCAAAAAAAAAAGAATAGAAAAAATGATTTAACAAGTGGGAAGTGCAAGCAATCCTCAGGGCACAGAGGATGCACGCTGCTGGTCCTGCTGCTGGCCTCCTTGCCTCCCTAGGCTCCTCTCAACAGGCTGTGTGGCGCCTGGTGCCTGACCCCCGCCCCAGACCCAGGGAAGGGGGCGGTGCCGCCTGGCGCACGCTGTGAGCACCAGCCTCTGGAAATGGGAACCCCCACCCCCCCCCCCCCCCCCCCCCCACCCCCCCCCCCACCCCCCCCCCCCCCCCCCCCCCCCGCCCCCGCCCGCCCCCCTCTGGGCAGTACCCTGCATTGGCTTCTCGGGGGACTGTGGGAAATGGCGGAACCCAGCCCACACCCGAGGACTCAGAAACCCAGGGCTTATTGGTCTGTTTAAGAAGCCCCCCAGGTGACTCTGAGGCCCGCAGGAGCTGGAGAACCGCTGAGGGCTGGGATCGCAGGCTCCAAGGCCAGGTCCAGGCTCTGCAGTGTCACACGCTACCTGGAGCCTCGCTGCACCTGGGACCTCACACGCCATCGCCCAGTGGGATGGGGAGGCCCTGGGCAGCAGGTCGGGGTCCAGGGGCCTGTGATTCCCACCCTCACCACAGGCTGAAGTAAAGGCACACCTGTGGAAGAGGCCCCTGGCCAAATCCAGGAGCCCAGGCGGAGGAGAAGGAAGGGGTCCACATGCCCCACCCCGGCACCAGGGCCCTGGACCCACCTGTCGCGGAGGAGGCTGCCTCTGTGGGTGGCTGGCTGGGGGTCACGGAGGGGCCTGGGAACCAGAAAGGAGAGGAGTCTGTGCTCCATCCGTGGCCGTGGCCCTGAGCCGCTAGGAAGCAGTGCCCTGCCTCATTGTCCCCGTGGGAATGGGCTGGAGAGGCTGGCACCGCTGACGGAAGGGACCTGCACTTTGCCCCGTGCACCTTCCACCCCCTTCTGGGTCCCCATGACCCCCGTCTGCCCCTCTCCTGGGTCCCCGTGACCCCCCTCTCCCCCCCTCCTGGGTCCCCATGACCCCCCTCTGCCCCTCTCCTGGGTCCCCGTGACCCCCCTCTGCCCCTCTTCTGGGTCCCCGTGAACTCCCTTCTGCTCCCTCTTCTGGGTCCCTGTGACCTCTCTTCTGGGTCCCTGTGACCTCCCTTCTGCCCCCTCTCCTGGGTTCCTGTCACTGACCTTCTTGCTTATCTCTGGGAGCAGGACTGGCTCTGGTCCCCCTGGGACGCAGGAACCACAGCGTGAGCTCAGGGAGAGGGTAGGAGTGACGGTGGGGAGGGGAGGATTTCCAAGAGGCAGACACACTCCCTTCCCACCTGCCACCTCAGGGCACTTGGTCCCAGGGTCCCACCCACCCGCAGCACCCCTAAGACCCAGCTGGACAAGGTGTCCTCTGGGAGGCCTTCTGGACCACCCTGAGGGGTGTGTCAGGTGAACCTCTGCTTCCCAGGGCCTGCCTCGGTCACGGTCACACCTGTGCTGGTGCACCGTCTATTAAACAGGTTGGCTCTGCCAGTAACTGTGCGTGTGCGTGCGTGCGTGCGTGCGTGTGTGTGTGCATATTGAGAAGTCTCAGCCCCCATGGAACACTCTTTAAATGTGTTCAATAAAAAA